AATTTCCAATGTTTTCCATACATTAATTGGTTGTTTTGTCTCATTCTCATTATTTCAAATGTGCGTACTCCATTTAGAGTTAATCTATTTATTTCCAAAATCATGTACTTTTGACAATATCTGTCGTTCCACGTACGTAGTGTCGTTCACATCTGTTTTGGTTTGATACTCCGATAAGTTTCTGAAGTTTGTCGCGTTCGTTTGTGGTAAGTTCATTACCAATATTTGATTTCTATAACGTTCTTGAAGTTGATGAACATTTCTACATGTTTTTGTATTCACCGTCTGATAGTCAAACATGTTTTGCATTTCAATTGGTAATTCCTCGAAAATGTTTGTAGATCGTTTCGGACACACTTTGAAAACCTCTTCTCAAATGTTCTTTAAGTTTTTGTCGTATTGAAATGACATTATGTGAGTTTTGAGGATGACTGTATCCGTTTGCAATCTCGGAGATCAATTGTGCACAATTGCTGTCGCCGTCGTTGTTGATAACGTCATTTTCTGACGACAACGAGGAATCGCAAATTTTTATTGTAAGATAAAGAAGATAAAACAATTCATTATTTCATTATTACCGTCACCCATATCTGATTGAAACCCGACATAAAGTTTTTATGAATTCAGAATGTCCGCGTATTCCTGATGTTTCAGTTTCGTTGTCAACGAACCATTTCGGGTTTTCAGTTCAGAGAAGGAAACGAAGTTATTTTTAGACGCTGCTGTGATCCATAAAATAACAGCGAAATTTTAATGAGGAATTAACAATTGAACATGTGGATTTTTGCAGGTGGAAACGTTATTTAAAGAAGTGTTAAACAACGGATTATTACAAGATGTTGAAGTATTTCTCCGAATTGTTACAGTGATGATTCATATACGCTTTGCCAAAAAACCCGAAGTTTTCGCTACATTTATACCACAATTTTATAAAATGTTTGAATAATTAATAAATTCATGAGGTAGAACGAAGTCAAACAAAATTCGTAGGACAGGACCGTTTGTTTAACGGACCATTTAAATTAGTGGGCGTAAAGCAAACACGTGGAGAGGAAATGAACCGATATTAATCTTCGACACAAACGTCACGCCACGTCGACTCCAGGCATCAAAGGGGCGACTGATGCCTCGAACCCACAACCGATTCCTTTCATCAACTGTTCGATTAGGATCAAACCCTGGATTTTTAAAGTCTCCGCGCGCACAGCCGCAGTTTCTGCATCAGATAATTTCAGCACGTCTGAAGTTCTCTGGCAATTGTCACTACCACGTCAACATTCAGTGATCTCTTATTATCACAACTGAGCGAAAAATCGACTCCTTTAAACTCAGCTTTTTAACACAATTATAATGTTCCGCGCAAATTACGACTGTTTAACTTATTTATAAAATCAAACAATTAACTCTGAGAAAGAAATTATTTTCCCGGCGGTGTCCGAATTTATAACTTGTGTTGGGCAAGGCCGTGGTCTAGGCAACACGGAGTTTTCCTCCGTGGCATCCCAACAATTACTCCATTCACACACAGAAGAAGGCAATGGCAAACCACGTCTGGATCATCTGCCAAGAACGTATATGAACAGGTCCCAGTCCGAGAAAAGGATGGAAGGATCCTGTTCATATGGACCTGTCCTCAGACAGAACACTAAATAAATAACAAACAAAAGGAGAGCACTTCTTAATATATTCTGTGTACAGAATGATAGGGAGTTCACGCAGAACATATCGCAAAACTTATTCATCGTTGTAATTCAGTTCAATTCGACTGAATGAATAAACACGCAATATTGTTGTCACCTACTCGAGGCAATCCATCCGTTGTCTTTTTCGCGTGTGTAACGAGTGTTCATTGTCGAGCGACGCCAGGCGCACGTCGAATCTCTACCCACGTGCCAAACGTCGCACTGTGAAGGTCTGAATCTACCAGAGTACACGGCGTAACAACCCAGAAGACAGCCATCTTCAGACTCACCGCTGTGAAAACCTCAAATCCCACACAGTAAACCAAAATTGTCTTCGCGAGGGATTTTCCCCAGACGTAAATTCCTACCTTTCAAGCAGCTAAGATAATTTAGAAATCTCAGGTGCATCAGAACAACGGATGTGTGGAGATTTGCGAAAGTTCTGCGCTTGGGAAATCCTGTCTATTGCAATGGACTATCTGCGCTTATCTTATCTGCACGATCTCTTTGATGATCGTATTTAACGTCCAGCCATTTTGGTGAGAGCTTCATTGTTTGAAATGAATTGTACCAGAAGACTGAAAATTCTGTCCACGATTGTGGCGTTGTTTTATCTCGTGACAGGTCAGTAACATTTTTGCACTAATCAAATTACAGATCACCGAATTATCGGTGCACGAAAGAGATGTGTTTCTTTACTGGATACTGGGATACTGGGAACGACCCGATCTTAAAGTGCCTGAGCGCTGCGGGTCCCAACTTTTCGTTGGCTTTGATCTATAGCCATTTTGGTAGGACTCCTTGGATGAGGGATCGGCCCGTCGCAAGGCCTCTGCCTGGACACAGGACAGCACAACACAGAAAAACGCGGACAAACATCCATGGCTTGAGTGGGATTCGAACCCACGGTCCCAGCGGCGAATTTAATGAAAATGATTATAAAAAATAAAAAACTCAGAAAATGCTAAATTGTAAATGAAGAGACGTATAGTCTCTTTATATTCATTCGATGTAGAGAACAGTAGTCTAATAATATCAGATGGTATTAATAATAAGATAAGTGCACAGATAAGACAG